GGCTGGTCAAATGTCGTGTATGTTTGGTAAAGTTTCAATAAATCGTAAGTTGTGAATATTACGAAATGTGTGAATAGTTGCGGATCATATGTGATGCGCAAATAAAAATTATGTTTGATCAAACTACGTCAAACATGTTTATAATTTTTATTCATACATTTCAAGGTACTTTTTATTTACATATTTCGTAAGACATATATAGGGACGGATACAGGGGGGCTGGGCTGTAGCCTCCCCCAAAGGCCCAAAAAAAAATTTTGTAAGTTTTTTTTTTGTTACAACAGTTTTTCATGTGTAAATTTTTTTTNTTTTAACACACTCTAATGCGTTTAATCAAATTTACTAACTCCTATTTGATAACCATCTTTTAAGATTCCAAGTTGGTCGGCCTTTATTTAATCACGTGTCATTAATTTCACAACTTTTATTTACTTTTTAATAATATTAACGAAATCCATCAACTTATAATCTCAAAATTGTCAAACAGGGATTAAATAACTATAAATAAAGTGTACGTGAATCATATGTGTGTCAGTAAGGGTCCGTTTGATTGCAAAAGTGAAATTTGGATGGAAAAAAAATGAATTACGGGTAATTGAATTGACTAGAATTGTTTTCTTGGGAATTGTCAACTTATAATCAAATCATTTTCCCACCAAAGTGATGAGAAAACAAATTCCATGAAATATTTTACATATCAAACATGGCAAAAGTGGAAAGTTGGAAAATATATTCCAACTTCCATGGAGAATGCCACCTATCAAACAGGGCCTTAATGTAGCCCATTTGATGGGTTGGTGCGAGGCCATGGATCTTCGAACCCTNTATATTCCAACTTCCATGGAGAATGGCACCTATCAAACAGGGCCTTAATGTAGCCCATTTGATGTGTTGGTTCGAAGCCATGGATCTTCGAACCCTTGGTCATTAGTTTGGAACATAACCTGTAATATCATGTCGACCAAAAAAACCCTTAACAAAAAAGAAAAAGAGAATATTAGTTAATGGTGCACTATGAATGTTGACAGTACCGCGGACCAAATGGACGTACAACATATTCCTTCTCTCTAAAAACATTCCTATTTCGAAGTATGCATGTTTAAACATAGCATGGCATTTTGCATTAGAGCATGCTTGGTAGTAAAGTGTTTTTCAGCATGTAGGCTGGTCAAATGTCGTGTATGTTTGGTAAAATTTCAATAAATCGTAAGCTGTGAATATTACGAAATGTGTGAATAGTTGCGGATCATATGTGATGCGCAAATAAAAATTATGTTTGATCAAGCTACGCCAAACATGTTTATAATTTTTATTCATACATTTCAAAGTACTTTTTATTTACATATTTCGTAAGACATATACAGGGACGGATACGGGGGGGCTGGGCAGTAGCCTCCCCCAAAGGCCCAAAAA